TCCACCTCTAAAGCTTATTCCTAAATTATTTTCTGCCACTATAGGCTGTTCATGATGGTGTTTGATCAACGGATGAGGAGTGACTTGTGTAGATATCTGTTTAGGATAAAACAAACATTAAATGACGAAAAATCTTTTATTTTGTATTCATTTTAACCCTAAAGACTCATGATTACTTAACCACATATCACAAATACGAAATCGCAATTTTATACACAGCTAAGTTATATGTCATTTGATAAGAATCTCAAACACACTAATGTTTTATAATTTTTTTCCAACTCTACAAAATTTGCATATTTTTTTTTTTGTTAGAAAATCTTCAATAGAAAAAAGTGATAAATTTTGTTAGTTTGATTATAGAAAGTGCTTTGTGTTTTGACTAAGAATTCATTGTCTTTTTGTTCAAACACTGTAAATTCATCTTCTTGGTACTTAGATGTTTTGAATGATGAGTTTGAATTGCTGTGATGTTGTCAATTCTTTCAACGTCAACACATTCAATTGATTGAACTCCAAGTGTAATGAAACAAACGTTCCCTCATGATTAAAAATATCGTTATAAACTTCATACTCTTTATAATGGTAGAAGATTTATTTTAGCTTTGAATTTTGAACTCTGGTGTGAGCACCAATCACCTTCATTTATTATGTGTTAAGTTCAATGCCTTCAAGCCACTTCGGTTCATTGGTTTGAATTTTTAATCAGTTTTTCATAGAGCATAATTCATATCCTAAAACAAGTAAATTAGTATCTCATTAAGAATTCATTTGAAAAGTCATAGCTTGTGGAATAAAGCAAATTACAACAAAATAATCACAAATACTTTAGTGAAGGAGAACACAGGTGAGGGCAATTGAATTGTATTACAAGAAAATTACAGAGTTACTCAGTAAAATAGGAAAACCATATCGTAAATCGTTAATTTGCAAAATATCAGTTCATCATATCGAACTGGACTGTTCCTGTTGCAAAACATCAATCCATTGTCACTTATTTATGCGTTTAATAAAAATTCCATTGTGTTCCCCCACTCTTCCTTTCTTGATCTTCCCCCATCTTCTGCTGCCAGACATTACGTTTTTACTCGCGTCATATACTACTTATAAGTAGCGCGCACCACAATACTATCGAACTCTAAATAATAGAAACTAAGATCGCAAATATTTCTGTTGACAATTTATTGACCTAATTGATATATTATCATCTTAACTGTAAGGTTGTGAAATCATGCATCGATCAATGTTAGAACTTCATTAGAAACTTGTTATAATTCTCACGCTTCTCACAACCCATCTATTTCCTAATGCTTGGTATCCTCGGACACCAATTCACTCAACACGTTCTCCCAAATCAGAACACCGTTGAACAGGAAAAGAGATTATATTCCAATAACAAGGTTAGATGGAAGACGGAAGATACGAAGGAAAAAGACGTTAGTATATTTATATTTTTCTTACATGAAAAGATTCTAGAATGATCCCTCAGTATCGGCTAGCGCTGATTGGATGTGAAAGAGCCAATCAGCGTGCAACAACACAATCATGCTTTAATTCAATCTATGTCGTCGCACTAACAAAACCTGAAAGCATTCGATGGCTTTTTCGTCCTGGTAAATGTGATCAAAATAGCTTCATGAAGATTCGTTTGCAATGGCGCAGGTGCATCCACTCTTTGTGTTCTCTCTAATTCTAACCTTCTGAATTCCTCATAATCTCTATCTTTCTCCTTCTAAATTTATCTCATTGAATTATTCTTCTCGACCCATATCTTCCAACCCTAATCTTCTCCATTACTGCTAATACTTCTACTATCACTATCACTCTTGGATTTGAACTGACAGTTGCTTCTCTATGCTGATATGGTATGGCAACCTGAACTGATGTACTTATGTACGAAGTTCTGCGTTGTATCTGTCCGTCTGTCATGAAGATTAGAATTTTGTTTTATTCTTTATCAATTGAATTCTTATAAAAAAAATTTCACCTTGTCGATTCATTTATTAACTTATTCATTCTAAAATATTTTATTTTTTTAATACAGATTAAGTGGATGTTTATCAAAATCCGGTTTCGATCTATGGACATTATGTCATACAACACCAGAAGAATTAAATGCTTGTGGAATTACTAATCCATATGATCGACAGATTTTAAGAAGTCAACTTGCTACTTTACAATTATCTGATCCATTTACAGAAAAACAGTTACCGGTAAAATTATTTTTTTATAAATTCTGTTTCATATTTTAAGTAAATAACATCGTTGTTATTTTGATGTTAGGTGATTGGAGTAAGTAGGAGTATCAGCAATTTTATTGATAACTCGTGCTCCCTGTGTTACCCAACTTCACAATCTGAAACATCCCGTGCAAGCTATCAGACAAACATGATTTTGCTGTAACTACTTGGTGATCTATTAATGTGACCTTCTTAGACCTACAGAAAATTCGTCAAAACCTGAGTAATTCAGAATGTGAAGCTGACTGAATTGGGTTTGAATCCACAAGGAAACGTCAGTTCTCAAAAGATTTCAGAGACACATTTCTAAAGATTACGAACTAGTACAAAACTAAGGTCAAGTGTTTTTGGTTAGCTTCCCCTTACCACGAAATGTTGATACTTTCATATTGGTGGCCGCGTTATAATTCGATCGATTGAATTCGATAAGCACTAACATCTAAACAGACATCACTACTCAATCATTCATTATTCAGTGTTAGTTTATGTTTCAAATGAATTCAGTCCAGATATATCAGCAGTTATATGTATTCGGTATCTTTTTTTTTTTACATTTTTCTACTACAAGGTGTACTTTTTTTCTAATGAATCTGTTCTACCATTTATATGTAATGTAAATAATATTTGAAATCAATTTATTCTATGCATAATTGATTTGAAGAAAATATACTGAATGCATTTCATTGACTAACTAACTCATTTGCGCAGAAATGAACACAACAATGAACATTTTATTATAAATTATATTAGTTGCTTTTATTTACTACCACCCTTAACTCAGTTCTCATATGGTCGAAAAATAAATGTTTCGCAATAAGCCAAAAAAAAAATCATTACCTGACATGAGACAAAGGGTAATGAGAGTGTTTGAATACATTTGTATCAAGCTGGGCTATCCTATGCCATATATGTGTACACCATATGCTATACTGCTATATAGAGCTGAAGGTTCCATATGAGACCAGAGTTGCTCTTTGAACATTGTGGATGACAATGTTGCTTTGACAAGCATCGTTAACAGTCCTTATACAAAATTAGTTAGCACGGCGACCGATTTCATTGACACTAGTGATTGTTTTGCAACATTCCCTAGGGCCATTGTCATTGGTGTGTTGTATTGCATATCACCATTGCTGCTAATAATAATGAGGTTGACAGTCATGTAGGTGGGATGGGTCGAATTGGCCTGTTCATGCTATGCATATTGATTGACGCGATTATGGATCTGAAGTAACCATTATATATATATATATATATATATATATATATATATATATATATATATATATATATATATATATATATATATATATGGTGTATATGGTGTGAATAGTCCACCATAGTGTCAGGTGTCTGAGTGGTTGCGCCACGGGATTGAGTCGAACTGTTCACGTTGAAGTGTAAACACGTGTGTAGTCTCCTTGTTTCTCCTGGAAAATAATATAAAATTACCTTTGCCAATTTAGGATGAATTTATATTTATCTAACAATGTACACAATCAGATATAATTATGATCAGATCTATCGTTATGGTTGATAGAATGAAGACTAAACTTGTCAGAACACGAGTACGATCAAATTAAATAATGGATAATTGTACATTTTATGTTTGTTTATAATAAAAAATTAATCAGACTGATTGTCACAACACACACACTAGATAATTATTCAAACAATTGACTGCTTGTGACTGTTAAAGACAGAGTTGAATGAGTTACCATGATACAGTTCGTTTAAACTGTTTTTAAATGATTCACGTTTGTTTTTGTATATGTGTGGGGTTTTCAATTGTCAAACCTTATTTATTAGGTCTCAGTTCTGTTTGAATGAGTTTCTTTTGTCGAAATCAATTTTCGTGTCATATTTCTTATTGAAATCATCTGGAAATTTTGAAATATATTTCAAACGTTATTTTTGTCCCTGTTGAGGATGTTAGATCCCCAGAACTCGCTTCGTAAATGCCTTAATTTTGAATTTCACCTTTGCGTGCATGGGCTGATCAGTTGACCTTGAGATTTCAATTCCCATCAGGAAAATCCATGGCTGTGATTGGCTGCTGTGTATTTTAGTGTGCTATTTTTGTGACTGTCACAAGGATGTTTCTATGATGTATAAATAAACTAGAGTTGTGTGCTTGATTGTACTGTGATTGCTGGGTGTTTGTAGAATATACTTTCTACGCTTACATAGCCTTTTATCTCCAGCTTGGTATTCAAGGTGGCCTACCTGGACACTGGTTCATTGTCTCGTTCGCGTTTTATCGACTAAGGTAAACTCGTAATAGTTTCAAGCGTACCTAGTGACGAACCCTACAGTCCCTTTAACATTGAATTCAGTTGTTTAGTTGTCGTATTGGCTAGGTAGAAATCAACCAAAGTTAGTATTCTATCCGGATAAAATCCATTTTAGAAAAATCATTTAAAGTATTATCCTCTTATTCTCATTCTTGATTATTTTTGACTAATGTCTATTTATAATTATATCTAAAAAATGAAACACTGAAACAATCTTTACAAGAGGCGTGTATACTTCTCATAGAGACTGATCAATTACAGTCTCTTATAACAATGATTAATTGATGATTTCAATGTGCAACAAACACTTACCTCCATAAGTCTAATTGAAAATATCGTAAAATGTGCTCTCTAGTGACTTATAGCTTCGTAAGGAAATTCTCGGAGTTCTAGTGAGAAGACGTGACCAGTGGAGTAAAACCTTGTCAGGTGAAAGACAAATGGGTGAGGTCGCACCAAATCTGTAGATCGATCAGAGTTAGACATTAACACCGTTGGATGTCAGCCCAATGGTCCCGAGGTTAGGCGTTCGCGTGCAAGACCAAAGGTCCTGAGTTCGAATGCTGTTAGATGCAGGAGTCATGGATGCGCACCAGTGCTTTCAGGTTTCTAACGGTAGTCTAACAATGATTTCAAATTATATAATCATAACAAATCTTTAAGCATAAAATTTACACCTGTTGAACAAATTAGTAACTATTCTGGAATCAGCAATTTAATGGAAAATCTAATGAAGCTTGAATTTCAGTGTAAAAAACCAAATATTCAGATGAATTCATTATCTCAGCTGTGACGAGTCCTAAGTTGGAATGAAACATACGTACTAGATTCCACTGGTAGTCAAAATCTAAATTTACAAGAAATATTTTTATGATTGATATTGATTGTTATAGTTATATTAATGTGAATGAATAAAATTTATGAATAAAATCAATTAATGAATTAGAAAATGTGATGTCAACTGTTCTGTGTCAGAAAAAAATAGATACACACACACCCATAAACATGAAATAAACAAAATGAAGAAAGAGAATAATTGAATCAGATCATGGTATTATTCTATGAAGAGGATAAATTAGGTGTCGACAAGCTGTTTGAGGCATGCGAGATGATAGTTAATCGATGAGAGAGAGACCCTAAATGACATGGCTGAAAATCGTTTGCAATGGCGCAGGTGCATTCATTCTTTTTGTTCTCTCAAATCCTAACCTACTGAATTCTTTATCACCTTTATCTTTTTCTAAAGTTATTTCACTGAACTATACTTTAATAATATCTTCGAACCCTAATCTCCGATTACTGTTAATACTTCTGTTGCCTCTACTACTATGGGATTCGAAGTGATAATTTCATCGCTGTTGTTATGTTCTTCATTAGGTACGCTTGAAGCTATTACGAGTTCACCTTAGTCGATAAAACGCGAACGAGACAATAAACCAGAGTCCAGGTAGGCTACCTTGAATCCCAAACTGTAAAACAGAAGACTTGGTAAGCGTAGAAAGTGTATTCTACAAACATCCAGCAATCACAATACAATCAAGCATACAATTCTCGTTTATTTATACATCATAGAAACGTCCTTGGGACAGTTACGAAAATAGCACACTAAAGTACACAGCAGCCAATCACAGCCATGGATTTTCCTGGTGGGGAATGAAATCTCAAGGTCAACTGATCAACCCATGCTGGCAAACGTGAAATCCGAAATAAGGGATTTATGAAGAGAGTTCTGGGGATCTAACATCCCCAGCAGCTTTGCTATTGTGGTATGGCAACATGAAGTGATGTACTTACGTACGAAGTTCTACGTTGTAACTGACTGACTGATCATTAACAAATCTTTTTACAACTGGTTGTATGTTTTTGTTCAAAGGAAATTAGAAAACTTTTCTGATGTGTGTACTTGTATTCTAATAGTGATATTTTTATTGAAACCTGAATCCGATAAATTACTAATTTCATATAGCCGCTAAATTATTCACTGAGTGGCTACAAACCATGTCCAACCATTCGCTCATGATACTTGTTCTCTAACAGACATTGATCATAACTCAGCTCAGAAATATTAACACTGTGAAGAAGCAAACTTCTTTCCTATATCTTGATACAACATATATCTAAATGTTATCAAACGAATAAACGGGACCAGACAACCTTACAGCTGAGGCAATGAAAGCAGACGTGGAAGCAAGGAAGGCAAAGTAATCAGCAACACTGAAAAACAGCGAATTAGGTGGGTAGAGCACTTTAAGGAACTCTTGAATCGAACAGCTCCACTGAACACACCCAACATCGAAGCAGCATCTACGGACCCCCCAATCGACGTTGGCACACCCACAAATGAGGAGTTCAGCATGGCCATCAGACAGATCAAGAGCGGCAAAGCAGCAGGACAAGACAACATTCCAACAGAGGCAATCGAAGCAGATGTGGAAGCAACTGGAACATTACTTCACATTCTCTCCAACAACATTTGGGATGAAGAACATGTAGTAACAGAATGGAAAGAAGGACACCTGATCAAGTTACTAAAGAAAGGAGATCTAAAAAAATTGTGAGAACTACAGAGGCATCACTCTTCTTTCACCAATCTTGTTAAACAGAACGAATGACTTCATTGACTCTCAACTTCGAGATCAACTTGCTGAAGTTCGCAAGGATCAATCGTGTACCGACCAAATCGCGACACTACGGATCATTGTTGAATAATCAGTTGAATGGAACTCACCAGCTATACAGCAACTTCACTGACTATGAGAAAGTATTTGATAGTTTGGACAGAAGAAAACTACGGAGGCTTCTTTGGCGGCACAGCGTGCCTGAGAAGATAGTCAAAATCATATGGAATTCGTACGATGGATTAAGCTGCAAAATCGTGCACGGAGGACAGCTAGCTGACAGAGTCGTTCCAGGTGAAGACCAGTGTCAGGCAAGGTTGCTAACTTTTACCCTTTCTCTTTCTCCTGGTGATCGACTGGTTTATTAAGACAGTTCTAATGTATAGGGCGAAAACTTGGATAACTGCGAATGCCATCGTCCTGAAGATACGCATGTTTATTAACAGTTTTCTACACAAAATATTTGAGATCCGCTGATTAGACATCATCAGCAACAACCTACTGTGAGAGAGAGAGAGAGAGAACAAACCAGATTCCAGAAGTGGAAGTATTCAGGAATAAGCGCTGTGAGTAGATAGGAAACACATTGGGGAAATCACCCAACTACGTCACAAGATGATAAGTCCTCACTTGAAATCATCAAGGCCGAAGTTGAAGAAGAAGGCTAAAGAACACAGTGTAGTAAAGGAGAACACAGGTAAGGGCAACCGAATTGTATTTATCGCAAATTGCAGAAGTTACTCAGTAAAATAGGAAAACCATATCCTAAACAGTTAATTTGCAAATCTTCAATCCATCATCAATCCATTGTCTGACATTTGACTATTCATGCGTTTCATACAAATTCCATTGTGTTCTAACTCTTCCTTTCTTGATCTTCCCCCATCTTCTGCTACCAGACATTACGTTTTTACTCGCGTCATATACTACTTATAAGTAGCGCGCACCACAATAGTACTCCGATAAATGGAGCCAGCATAAGAACAATGACTAACAATTGGACAGAACTGGAAAGGAAGGCCAAAAATGACTGAGTCCTGCTGCGTTTCATCTAGACCACTAACTAATTGGTACATAGTACATAATTTACTTAATTATCCCAGTAGTGAAAATAGAAAACAAAACATGAATGGTTAGGAGAAATGTGTTATAATGATTTGTTCCTCAACTGATAATAATGATGATTGTTTAAGTGAAATTTACTTGTAGAATGAATAGTAGAACCATGATGTTATTTATGAATTTATCTAATTTTTTTTTATCTAATAACCAGTTGTAGTTTTCCGTTTCAAATAATGATATCTATCTATCCATCTATCTCTCACTGTGTGTCTATCAGTGCGTTAATTGATCACAATTAATTTACACAAGGCATTTATGCCAACTATTCACATTCATCGTGTACATTCATTCACTTATTTCACTACCTTCTGTTGTGTTAAACTGTTGTTAGATAATTGAAAATCATTAAATAAAATAATCATCATTTCCTGTCTAGTTTTGTTTTTTTTTTCGTTGAACAAATACTACTTATATCCATATATGATGATGATGATGATGATGATTTTGAAATGCCAAATTTGTAGATATTTCACAACATTCATACATGGAATGGTAGTGTAATTAATATAATAGTACAAAATTAATTATGAAGAAATTTGATCAAGAGGTTGGTTTGTTTTCTGTTTTTTTTTGAAGATTCCTAGTGTATTCGATCATTGTTCTATGTGACTTACTTACTTACTTACTTACGCCTGTTACTCCCAATGGAGCATAGGCCGCCCACCAGTGTTCTCCAACCAACTCTGTCCTAGGATTCCCTTTCTAGTTCTGTCCAATGTTTATTCATTCCTCTCATATCTTTCTCTATTTGTTCTATGTGAGAGTATGTTTATATTTGATAGCAATATGATATTTCCAATGGTAAAGATAAATGAAGCTTTCTTAAAATTATCTCTTTCGTTAGTTTATTTTATTGGCTTGCGTAGAAAGAATTACTTAGTAGTATTGATGTACATGGTAGAGAAATCACAAAGGGTATTGAGTTGATGATTTGGAATTACGAAATACATTGTAGTTATATTGGACTAGTATTTAAGTGTATATCATGACACGTTAGAAAGTAGAAGTTCTCTTGTGTTTTTATCAACTTAGCTGCTTTGAAGATTTAAAATGTTTTTTCCTAACCTGTAAGATTAATTGTATTTGCCATGGAGTTTATATAGTTTTCGCATTTATTTTATAAAAGAGTTTTTAAATTGTGGTTTAAATTGCTTTTGATGGTAAGCGTTTTTTTTGTGAGTGAGTCGCTAACCACATACCCAACCCTCCTCTTTTATCCGGGCTTAGGACCGGGAGTAACCCTTGGAATGGCTCCATGTAGATTTATTGTACTTTTAATACCAATATCAATGTGAATATGTCAAAGAGAACATGAACTGTTGACGACGGTATGATTTTCGATGTTTCGGAAAAAATAACATGAATATTTCGTTGCTGCCATTACGCTTTAGTTTGAAATCCCGACCGAAGCTGCTACCTTGACGTGGTGGTCAGGCTTGCCTATCGTGATGACCCAATCGAGTTATAGTGGCTGCAACATATGTTCCTGAAGGTTCTACCATGCCAGATTGGTCGATTGGAGAACGATCAGACTAAAAGCAGCTACCCAAGGTCTGAAGGCGAAGTCGTACTGTTGACTACAGAGGGGTGTAACAGCAGTAAGGTTTTTCCTTTGGACAACCAGCATCTGCAGCGATGCTGCCTTCTCACAAGGAACGAAGGGTTAGAAAAGGTCGACCCTAAAAATGTCTCACTTCACCCTACCTCACGGATTTCCATCTCCGGTGGTAAGGGTGCCCACTAGGGGCTTTTAAGAGCGGAGCTAATACTCGAAAAACCCTTCATCAAAAGGCCGTGCGTGACCGGCCTCAAGAAGTTGTCCCTTGCGCTCTGCGGTGACTCTCTCGGGTCGTTAAGACCAACGCTAATCTACCTTCCTTTTCAGGTTTCTCAAGAAACAACCTTCCACGGTGTGGCAGCCTGGAAGTGACAACCTCTCTCATATTCTTAACAGCACACGAGACGAAGTTAGTCAAAATCAAATCCTTCCTACACTCCCTAATACCTCTCTTATCTCCACGACTAACTCTACTCATATACGAAAGTCACCGATGGTTAGAGACCTTGAACGACATGGCTCAGAATCGTTCGCGATGGCGCAGTTGCATCCACTCTTTGTGTTCTCTCTAATCCTAACCTTCTGAGTTCCTCATAATCTCTATCTTTCTCCTTACAAATTCATCTTACTGAATTATACTTTTCGATTCATATCTTGGAATCCTCATCTTCTCCATTGCTGCTAATACTTCTACTATCGCTATCACTGTTGGATTTGAACTGACAGTTACGTCTCTGTGCTGACGTGGTATGGCAACCTGAACTGATGTACTTACGTGCGAAGTTCTGCGTTGTATCTGTCTGTCTGTCTGTCTGTCTGTCTATATTCCATCAGGACAAAAATCCATGACAAGCATTTTAGCCCGTACATATTTAGGATTCAACTGCTGGACTTCACAGTTCGTAATTAGTTAGGTGATTTGTAAAAATCTGTACAATTACTGTGTATCTGTTTGTGGGACATAAATTGGGTCAGAGCGTGATTGTGTTGTTGCACGCTGATTGACTCTTTCATATCCAATCAGCGCTAGTTGAACTTGAGGGAACATTCTAGAATTTTCTCATATAAGTAAAACTATCAATATACTAACATGTTTTTCCTTCCTATCTTCTTTCTTCCATCTAACAGTGTTATTGGAATATAATCTCTTTTCCTGTTGGAGTGTCGAGTGAATTGGTGTTTGACAATAATAAGCATTAGTAAAATCTGGGTTGTGATAAGAGAGAGAATTATAACAGTATCATATTTGTTGTACCTTGAATAACAATTGAAAATTTATGGATATTGAACACCTATTCTGTTTCAATTTATATTTCTACATCAGTATACAAACATTACTTACTTACTTACTTACTTACTTACTTACGCCTGTTACTCCCGATGGAGCATAGGCCACCGACCAGCATTTACCAGTCTCCTCTATTCTAGGCCTTTCTTTCCAGTTCTCTTCAATTGTTGTTCATTCTTTACATGTCTGTCTTCATTTTCCGGCGTGTTGTGTTCTTCGGTGTTCTTCTTTTCCTTTAGCCTTGAGAATTCCAAATGAGGCCTTATCTTGTGACGTAATTAGGTGTGTATCCTATCCACTTCCAGCGCTTCTTCCTGATTTCTTCCTCTCCTGAAATGTCATTTGTTCTCTCTTACAGTAGGTTGTTGCTGATAGTGTCTGGCGAGTGGATCCAAAGTATTTTGCGCATATAAACTTGTCAATATATATCTAAAATCCACCAACGATCTTTTAGGTCTCATATAAATCTTAATAACAATAAACTAATATCGTATAATTCGATAATTCGTATTTTTTCTAAACTTTGATTAATAATTACATGCAATAACTAAATACTTTGAGTTTTTAAATTTCTCCCCCCTTCATCTCTCTTTGTGTTTTTTCAAAAAAAAGAAAAACTTTTCATATTGCAAACTTTCGGATCGCCTGTAAAAATTTTTCCAGAATTCTGTTTTTTTTTACGAACAATGAAGTCATAAAATTTTATTATCTATGCTAGGGTGTTGCTTATTTTTTTTTTTATATCTAATTTCACTAACTTTTGATAATTTTTCAGAAAAATTCTTTGTTATCATCATTGTAGGATAATGTCTATGAATGGTTAGTACAATTACATTTAGAACAATATTGGTTGAAATTTAATGAACAAGGTCTATTGACATTTGAACAAATTATTCGTATTACATGGGATGATTTAGAAGAGATCGGGATTTCAAAATTAGGTATGTTTTATTTTTGATTTCATTTTTTTGATTACTTACTTATTTACTTACTTACTTACTTACACCTGTTGGTGTAGGAGTAGATTGGAAGAAAGTTAGGGGCGGCCAAACCAAAAAGATGGCACAAATCCATGAAGTCATTGACAAGTGAACTGAGTCATGTTGGTAGATGTAGACTACCTGGTTGGGGTCCGCGAGACGATAGTCACCAATGGTTAGAGACCTTGAACGACATGGCTCAAAATCGTTTGCAATGGCGCAAGTGCATTCAATCATTGTGCTCTCTCAAATCCTAATCTTCTGGAATCGTCATCACCTCTACTTTTGTCTTTCTAACCTTATTTCACTTAATTATACTTCTTGAATAATATCTTCAAACCCTAGTCTTCTTCATTACCATTTATACCTCTACTATCTTTATTACTATGGGATTTGATTTGACATTTGCGTCTCTGTGCTAATGTGGTATGGCAACATGAACTTATGTACATACGTACGAAGTTCTACGTTGCAACTGACTGACTGACTACGCCTGTTGGCCCCAATGGAGCATAGCCCGCCGACCAATATTCTCCAGCCTACTTTGTCCTGGGCTTCCCTTTCCAGTTCTGTTCATTTTAGTTTTCATGATATATTTCTATTATTGGTCATAATTTTATTCATTTCGATAAGATATATATATATATAGGTTTCACATAGACTCTGTGCTCGCCAGTATCGTGTTTACGGTTCTAGTACTATACATCTGTAGGACAAATTGAATCCTACTTCAGTATCGATTGCCTTACTGATTATCGAGAACCACGTCTTAAAACAATAGTAGCTTTAAGGATAACAGAGCCTTTATTTCTTGCTTAAGATCATCATGTATTGATGAGGAACTTGCAAATGAATCTACCTTATAACACATTTCACCAGGCTGCTTGTACATTATCAAGCTCACACCTTGTGTTATCTATGTCATTTCATCTTGATGTGCGATTCATAACTCCATTTGATTCTGAAGCATTGTGCAGCATATGTGGTGTAAGTTTGGTCATATAATTACCGGTTTCAAAAGGAGTCGACCTACAAGAAGTATACGTAACAATGGAACTGTTATTTTTGAAGGTCTTCGGGTTTATCCGGGCTCATTTTCTTGATATGTGACCCATTTAGACATATGTTCAATCTTCAGGCTATATATTCATTATATTTAAGAAATAAATAATAGCTATTTACTTTCTTCTAACAGAGTGCGTTATTGTAACGCGAAAACCAAACGTACCTCGTGTTTTAAAATTAGTTAGCCATAATCACATGATTTTTTTCTACAAATTTGTAATTCGAAACTTGAAATTCGTGAATTTATTTTCGTTAGAGGTGATGGTTAATCGTTCTTATATGATTTTAAATACGTACCTTGTACAAACTACATTTCTAAGTTGTTATGTTGTTCTCCAAGTTAGGTGGCTTAACTGTGAAGCTTTCATCGTCTTCCTAGGCAGTTATATTAAAATTCACTTCAAAAAAGTAGACTTTATGAGGAGTGATTAACAATTTGCTTAGTTGATCAGAGGTCAGTCGTTCACGCACTAAACCAAAGGTCCTAGGTTCGAATCCTACGAGTTGCAGAAGTCGTGGATTCGCACTGCTTATGTATGATCTCCATATCGGGACAAAACGGCCATCGAGTACTTCCAAGTTTCTAATGGTGATCTAACATTGATCGATTCATGGTTTCGAAAAAATGTGTAACTTAACAATCTTCACAACACCGTAATACAAATTACCTGTGCTCACTAGTGACTAGCTTCGTCAGGAATCTTCTCCAAGTTCTAGTGGGAAGACGTGACCAGTGAAGTTCAACCTGTTCGGGTGTAGACAGTAACTACCGAAGACTGTATATGAGGTTGCGCAACTCCGCGAATTGATCAAGTTAGATAATAACACCGTTAGATACCGGGTCAGTGGTCCGATGGCTAGGCATTCACGCACAATACCGAGAGTCCTAGGTTCGTATGCTGCGAGTTGCAGGAGTCGTGAATGCGCACTGCTGATGAGCTTCATATCATGACGAAACGGCCATCGAATACTTCCAAGTTTCTAATGCTGGTCTAACATTGATCAGTTTCAAAAATGTCTAACTTAACAATCTCCACAACCTTATCAAGCAAATCTGTTTGATTTTTTTCCGTTGGTTGCTTGATTGTTGTTTAAATGTTTATTTTGATTACGTTTTTTTCTTTCTACATGTCCTAGCTGGCGACACTGAATTTGTTTGTTCATTATCTTATCAATTTGTAGATGACTGTGTTCAGTTTCAATCTACTTATTTATTTATAAGCGACTAAAATGCCAAGCTTCTGAAAATTTTTTTCCCTAACTTTTTTAAGTTCCTTCCCGTAGTTTAGAATTTCAACTTCGTCAAATATAAACGAAACTCAAAGATATGCTATTGAAAGGCTGTGAAAAAAAATTTTTTTTAGATAAAACCAAGAAACGAAAGTAAAAGTCAACATTTCCACCATAAAAATTCTTTGAAATAATCTTTTTTTTTTCTAACATGTCGTCTTAGAAATTTCATGGAAATTTGTTTGAAATTTTTATTTCACTGCTATCTATCTTCTTTGGCTCTCTCTCTCTCTCTCTCTGTGTCTCTATTCGTCTCTTATTTAGGTCATCAAAAGAAACTTCTTATTGCTATCAATAAATTAAATCGTCTATTACATCATGATCAACGTCTGGTTTGTTCGCCTAAAATTCATTTTACCACCACCCCAACAAATTACAACATGAATTCATCGATCAATAATCAATCGATCGATTCAACGAAAAAAGAGACTGGTTTCGTACAATCAACATCTGATTCATCATTTCTTCAAAGTAGTACTCATCATAATCACAATCGGTCATCATCATCAACATCATCATTCCAACATCAACATGATAATGATAGTATGATTAATAGAACAAATTCAAAAGGTATATGAAATAAGTTGTTGTGATTAATTATTGTTTTAGTTAAACAAAAGTAGTAATCTGTTAAATTTTCAATATGCTTCTATACTCTGAATGATTAGATTTTTCTAATGAGAAAGCCTAATTAACAACTAAAACATGACAATCCTACAAAACTGACATCTTTATAGATAGATAAATAAAGAAAGAAGTTAAAAAAGTTTCAGGCAAAAGATTGACATTTAAATCAGTCAAAATTGTAACTGGAACAAATGTGTTTATATAATGTAATTTTAACGTATGGCAAAAATATCAAACTATAAAACATAAAACTAATCAATTGAATGATAGTGATGATAGTTAGTTTGTTTTAAAGCTACTGACGATTTGCTCGTACATCGCTTACTTACTTAAGCCTGTTACCCCCACCCGTTCAGCCGCCGACCAGTTTTCTCCAACCTACTCTGTCCTGGGCGTTCCTTTCCAGTTCTGTCCAATTATTGTTCATTTTTCTCATGTCTGTCTCCATTTCTTGTCGTAATATGTTATTTGGTATTCATCTCTTCCTTTGGCCTTGAGGATTTCAAGTGAGGACCTATCTTGTTACGCAGTTATGTGTGTACCCTATCCGCTTCCAGAGCTTCTTCCTGCACTGGAATCTGATTTGTTCTTTCCGACTGTAAATTGTTGCTGATGGTGTCTGGTCAACGGATCCGAAGTACATCATACATCACACTTATTATGTATTTACAGAATTAAAAAACCCAGATAATTTTATGCCATCTGAACAAAAAGTCATAGCAAAATGAAGTAATCGAACTTGTTCTATTTTGTTCATTTTGTGTAATATATCAGTGAATATGTTATCACTGGGAATAATGCGTCAATCAAGCTTTAAAAATCTTGCACAGAACAGTATTAAGATCACTTGTCACGCAAATTATGCTAACAGGAATGTTGTACTCGTCGCATGATATGTTTGAAACTATTACGTGTTCACCTTAGTCGATAAACGAGAATGAGACAATGAATCAGGGACACGTTATGCTACTCTAATCAGTTTCCTCAAACGAACTAACGAAGAAGTCTTGATACGGCGTAGAAAGTGTGTTCTACAAACACTTAGCAATTACAATGAATTCAAGCACACAACTCGCGTTTATTTATACATCATAAAAGCGTCTTTGGGAGAGTCACAAAAATAGCATACTAAAATAACACAGCAACCAATCACAGCTAAGGATTTTCTTTGAGAGAAATGTGATCTCAGGGTCAGTTGATCAGCCCACAAATAAAATATAAAGTTAAGACATTTATCCAACGAGTTCTGGCGATCTAACGTCCCCAACAAGCAGTCAGTCAAGTTGGAAATGAAACAATCTTACTTGCTTATATGATCGATGAAATTTTATGTTTAATTACAAACTGATAAAATCTGAAAATGGATCATTTTATTGTATGCATTGAAAGACTTGAGGGTTCAGGGTTCAATCTAATCTATTGGTCCAGTTAGACATATCACTTTAAGATCAAATGATAAAGGAGAAACGATGACATATGTATACTATTGGTCAAGATTTAATTTAACTTTCTGACAAGACGACTATACGAATTTGGTTGAAACTCTGGTTTGATGGCTTTTCTAATACGGAGTCAGATCTGTATTTTCCTTATCCATCTTATCCATACATTGAATTCAGGCTGGTCCATAAAAAGTTCCTACTTACCCCTTGGTTTTCTCACCCATCTATACATGGTTGGACTTGTGTGTAAGAGGCATATAGAATAGAATTTTCAACAGGTAATCATGTTGATAAGATTTATAAAACTGTTGATGAGACAGCAAAATCAAAATATTCACTTATGATATGTGATATAATCCAAATGCTAAAAATACTTTTTATTTTGAATTAAGGATGAAAACATAAACTCAATAATTTTTTTTACTGTTTTGTTTTAAAAAAGGAACATCCCATAAACATTAACTCGTAAAATATCATTCATATCATAAACAATAAACACTTCAATTATGTTAAGTTTTACAATCTATTTCTTTATAAAATCAAGTGGAAATTATATGATCCATGAAAATTCGTTTTGATATCCATGTTTTTCTCATTGATTCGAAGAATCAATGACTGACAAGCTAACTTGCTCCAATCTCTTATGACATGTTATCACATTGATTTTTATCGTGTTCGGATTCCGTAAATAAACATGTTATCGGATTACATAACTGTCACGCATACACGTAAACACGTCATTGGATATGCTTGAACTATTACGAGTTTACCTAAGTTGGGAAACGAGAGCGAGGATCTGGCGACTCGACAGGCTACTCCAATTCGAGCGTCCCAAACCCCCGTTGAGTAAAAGAATAAGACTTGATATGAAGTAGAACATGTATTCTACAAGCATCCAGGAAGTATGAGGTCCGAGTCCTGAAGAAGACACTGATCCCGGATTGAGGATCCGGGTCCAGGTCATAAAATATTACAGTTAATGCGTATTTATACAGTTAGGTCGAATAGGAAACAACATTTGAAGAATGTGACACTGATAGTTAGGACGACCAATATGAATAGACCAATAGAATTAGATTTACAAATAATTCTGTAAAGATATTCGATGAATATCTTAATAATAACGAAGTTGATTCATTAAGCTAATGAGCTTGTCTTTGGTTTGACATCAGTCAGTCAGTTACAGTGTAGAACTTCGTACATAAGTTCATGTTGCCATACCACATTAGTTCAGAGACGCAAATATCAGTTTAAATCTTGTAGGTTTCAAATGATTGAGAAGTTTAAGTCACACAGTCTGGTGAATAATTATCACTTGGTCACACATTCATCTCATTGTATGCCTCTGTCGATTTTGTGGTGGTGTTTGGTTCTCTGAGCTGGATGTTTTGGTTATGTAGCTTTCATTGTTCTTTTGAACAACATCATCATCAGCACAAACCTCAGATAGAAGAAGTGAATTATTCGAATTTCTCTACGTTTGACTTCGATCTTGATTGGTTGCTGTTGATCTTAAATCTGTGGTTGTTTGCACCTTTGTTTTGATTGTATCCTCCTTTTGATCTGTTTCTTGATCCTATGTCACCTATGGTTTTTCTGATTGTTGATTTGAACAGTCAAAAATATTGTTTTATTAAATCATTACAAACAAACCCTAACAAGAAGCACTGAAAATATATAAACACTACACAGCTGTTTATATTGTCTGATTATTTAATACTCACTAATATGATATTTATCTGATCTTTTAGGGACCGACTAACTTGATGATAATGTCTCAGACCATAAAATTATGTGATCCCTATTCATGTCGTTTAAAGAGTATTGACTTCCTCCAGATTTTTGGTGATTCTTACTGACGAGAGCTCACTCAAACGAAACGTAGTTTACGTAGGGTTTCTTTCAAGTTACCTAACATAACTATGCAGTTAATTTCTTCTGAGTATTAACTAAACCATAAGGTTCTCTTGATGAGTAAAGGGTAACTTTCGACCACCATGCATTCGGTCCGCTCATTGAAAGAAAAATACTTGATCGATTGAGTGTATGCCAAATTTTTGAAAAGGATATTTAAAACTGCAAGATTGATATACTGTTATGTACAATTTAGAAAGTGATTTTACAAGTAGAGACAGTATACACTTTCCTTTTGTCAAAACTAAGAGTATCTTACTAGTATTATTAACTTGATAACTCGATATTCTTATCAAATAAAATCAATATCAGCGTAAACTGATAATGCAAACATTGTGCTAGATTGAAAAAAATGCTTCTCATATACTATCAGTGGAACATTTATATCTCTGATGCTTGGAAATCTCTCCAGAAAACAATTTTTGACTCAATGTTTGTGCTCATTACTCGACATGACATATCTACGATTTTGAAGGAGTTGAACTCCTGTTATCCTTCGTTATTGAGTTATTTAAGTCATCAAAAGACTTTTTGAGTAGAACGTACACGTTGCAAAGTCCAATAACCAGTGTTGTTGCTGTTTAGTTCTTTATGTTTAATAACCGATTAGTACTATAATCAAAAGGTCTGAACATCACAAGACACTCATTTTTCGGTTCAAGGTGATCAGATTTTTAAGTATACATTTTAATGCTTCTTTTAGAATAATTTCATTTTGAAACTGAATTCAAGATCTTGAATGAGTAAACTAAATCCCGTTAAATAGTAACAATGTATTTTTAAAATTAGTTAAGAATATGTATTACGGGGTTGTGAAGATTGTTAAGTTACACATTTTTGAAACCATGAACCGGCCAATATTAGACCACCATTAGAAACCTGGAAGCACTGAAAGACGGCCGTTTCGTCCTGGTGTGGGACTCCTCAGCAGTGCGCATCCACGACTCCTGCACCCCGCAGGATTTGAACCCAGGGCCTTCGGTATTGTGCGCGAACGCCCTAACCGATAGACCACTGAGCCGGTATCTAACGGTAATATTGTCTTACTTGATCAATTCACGGAGTTGCGCAACCTCATACACAGTCTTCGGTAGTTACTATCTACACCCAAACAGGTTGAACTTCACTGGTCACGTCTTCGCACTAGAACTCTGAGAAGATTCCTGACGAAGCTAGTCACTACTGAGCACAGGTAATTTGCATTACGGGGTTGTGAAGATTGTTAAGTTACAGATTACAGGTATGATTAAGTTAATACAGATTATTACGTAATAATAATAACAACAATAAACTTTAGTTTACGCTTTCCAAAATGGTGTTTTTTCGACGTTACTTCAAAATGGGCATTTTAAACAAAATCAATAACAGTATGAAATACCTAAGTGTATGAAAAAATGTATTAATCGAAGTGAAATAACTTCACAGTACCACAATTAGTAATTGTATTCAGTGCACCATAAATGTAGATTCAATGAGTACAGAGTCGTAGTTAGTACACAAACTGATAGAGAGAATAGAAAAATATCGATTAGTTGACATGAATGAATCATTAAATACCTTGTGGTATAGAAAACATCACATATTCCTTGATGAGTCCCATACTACGGACGAAATGGCCGTCCATTGCTTCCAGATATTTAATGCTGGTCTAACAATGATCAATTTTATGATTTCAATGAAATTAGTCCAAACTAATTAGTATTTGTGATTTCTTCCACTGATTATATTCAAGAGATCTTTTCAATGTTTTAGTGAAATATAAAGCCAACTAAATCGAAAACCAGTTAGTAGTAATCTACCGATGTCTCATAGAATGATCATTGAGCTATATCATAAATAGAGTTAAGTTGTATAGTAACTTATTTGTTCTGTAATATCATGGTGTTATTATTTAACTGGTGTAAGGTCGGCACATTTGTAACGTTACAATAAAAAATCATTCAATCATTTACAGTTTTCTATGATTCAATAGTTAATTGTTAGTTTATAATCGAAACACAATGGCGGCGATATAAATTCAAATTATTCAAAATAATTTAAAACATTTTACTACTATTGAAACCATGAATCGATTAATGTTAAACCACCATTAGAAACCTGGAAGCACTGGACGACCGTTTCATCCTGGTACGGGACTCCGCAGCAGTGCGCATCCACGACTCCTGCACCCCACAGGATTCGAACCCAGGACCTTCGGTATTGTAGGCGAACGCCTAACCATCGGACCACTGAGCCGGTATCTGACGGTGTTAATGTCTCACCAAGCTAGTCACTAGTGATTCATTTTTTCCCATAGAATTATTCTCTGCTATTTTGTAAAATACAAACCAATTTTCAAAAAAAATATTTTGACTGTATTCATTACCATTTAACAATACAGGATGATCACGTATACAGTTTATTTTAATGCCATGGTTTATATTAGTAACAACGTAGGTCAACTATTGATAATAACACTTGTTTATGAATTTCTTTTAATTGTTCAATGTTACATGAACAATAAGAAATTGATCGATTCATGGTTTCAAAAAAATGTGTAACTTAACAATCTTCACAACCCCGTAATGCAAACTACCTGTGCTCAGTAGTGACCAGCTTCGTGAGGAATCTTCTCCGAGTTCTAGTGAGAGAACGTGACCAGTGAAGTTCAAGCTGTTCGGGTGTAGACAGTACCGAAGACTGTGTATGAGGTTGCGCAACTCTGTGAATTGATCAAGTTTGACATTAACACCGTTAGATACGGTCTCAGTGGTCCGATGGTTAGGTGATGTCCTAGGTTCGAATGCTGCGAGTTGCAAGAGTCGTGGATGCGCACTGCTGAGGAGTCCCACACCAGGACGAAACGGCCGTCTTTCAGTGCTTCCAGGTTTCTAATGGTGGTCTAATATTGGCCGGTTCATGGTTTCAAAAATGTGTAACTTAACAATCTTCACAACCCCGTAATGCAAATAAGAAATAGTCTCACTTCAAGTCAATAAGAATAACTCTTTAAAAAATGGTGATTTTAACCGGAACATTCAAATTTGTTTTGCTGTTTAACTCACTAATACATTTTTTCCCAACACAATCTAATGTGAAATTGATTTTCAGTTTCGGAAATCGGTATACAAGTTGGTGAAGAAGAAGAAGATTTAACCAAATCACATAATTCCCATTTATCTCAATGGTCTTCCAATTCATCATCAACAAGTAATTCACCATATTCTCTTCCTCCACCAATTGATTTTCAAGATTCTCCACCGAAATCCCTATCATCATCAATTTATGATACAGATAAATTAAATTCAAATTTACAACAATCACATACTTCATGTATTATAAATGAACAATTCAAGTCTAATCTTTTGTCTTGTACTACTATAACAACAACAACTACTACTGATATAGCTACTAGTAGTGTTGTTCATCAATCTTCTTCACATTCATTAGGTCATATTCATAGTCCTTTGAATACAAAACTAACATCCAATGAATGTTTTAATAATTCTGAATGTCAAATAGGCAAACAATGTGAACCATTGAATTTATTTCAACGACGTTCTTCTAATCCAACATTATATTCATTAAAACCTAATGATCCTATAGAAAATATTGGAGATTTATCAAAATGGTCATCAGGTTAGTTAGTTAGTAGTAGCATTGACAATTTAACTTTTTAAGAGGTAGAATGGTTCATTTTTGATAGCATGCTAATAAACATTCAATTTTCAAGAGTATCATAATTTAGTAGATGTTACTCCTAACATATCGTTATATTGCTGAACAATTTTTTTTAGTTTGTGCAAGAAATTTGATAGCGTTACTTGGTTGAATTAATTAGGTTAACTACTTTACTGCCATCAAATAAATATTCGTCAACTGAATGAGATTTCAAGTGCACGCCATTTGAATTGCAATTTATACTGGTCTAACGATATTGTAGTGATTGTGAAACTTGAAAGTACCTCATAAATCTACAATGATGAAAAGTTAAAGCGTAAAGATGTAACAACTACTTAGTACAATTCTATTTGTGAAGGTTTTTGCATCAATGATCTATAATTGATAGTGTCCTAAGATTGGTGACCACCTACCATGTTGGTAGGTGTCAACTACCTGGTTGTGGGTCCTCGAGACGATGGTAACCGATGAATAGAGACCTTGAATGACATGGCTCAAAATCGTTTGCAATGGCGCAGGTGCATTCATTCTTTGTGTTCTCTCAAATCCTAATCTTCTGAATTCCTCATCACCTTCATCGTTTTCTTTTAAGTTTATTTCACTGGATTCTTCTTGAATAATATCGTCGAACCCTAAAATTTCCGATTACTGCTAATACTTTTACTACCTCTACTACTATTGGATTTGAATTGACAATTGCATCTCTGTGCTAATGTGGTATGGCAACTTGAACTGATGTGCGTACGTACGAAGTTCTCTATTGTTGTTGACTGACTGACTGAGTTTATTTTTCAACTGATATCTGATTTGTTTCTTAAAGTTTTTTTAGTTTACCCACATTTACCATTTGTACAATCTCATGTACAAACAATCATCTTAATCCCCACTTTCACAACATTCTGATTTTAAAATGTGCAGTTAGTAATTTTTTGAAATCCAGTTCGTTTGCTTAAAAATTATTAATAATATGAAGAAATAATGAAAAATAAAGGCATAATTTCTATGAACTTTTCATGATCAAGTGTTCTATTTTGCTATTTTTCATTTTCTCAAATTGATCTTGTTTATAACCTGACAAATCTTAAACAGAATCATTATCGTAGATCAGAAAACCAGTAAATAAAAACTCATAGAACAATTCAACAGTGTGCAACCGAAATTCACTTTTATTGGTGAAAATGAGTGTGACAGAAAGCTGAATTTCCTTGACGGCATGTCAAGTAAAAGCGTGTACATTAAAAGTCCCTCAGCTTGTCAATATACTCACATTTATAGTTTGACACCTATTTGCTACAACAGAAATTTGGTTAGATGTCTCACTAGCAGAGCAGAAATGATCTGTTCACTACATAATTTAAGTCATCAGCTGGATTTTATCAACAACTTACTGACCGAGATAGGTTACCTCTGCTCATTCCTTTAGAAGTGTATGTATCCTGTCAATAAGAAGTCGGAGACTTTGACTGTTCGACAGAAACCTCCATTCATTAAACTACAATTCAATGAGGATGTGGCTAGCAGTGTCTTGCGTCATAGACTAGTGAAAGTAATTAGTAGGACATTCTACGAAACCAATCTTGCGTTGACTTTCTCGCGTCGACCAGTGATGTCTACACAAACGAAGTATAAGTTACCTAAATTGACCTTTTCAATGTGCCGTTCATGTGGAGCGTCAGATAAAAACAATTCGTAGCTCTATCTTTGCACAATTAATTGAAAGCAGACATAATATAGAGAAATCTGAATAATTTCAAGTAATCTACCGTATACTCCCATCATTTCCCAACGGAGTTCCATCCCGTCTCTTACATATAGCAGAAACCATAGCAATCCGAGTATTCAACCCCAATTTATGTGTTCAGAAGAATATCTTGACACTCTTGTTTATTTAAATGCTAACATTTCATCCACTAGGTCATTGATTACCGATGTTCTTCAATTTATTTGTAAGAGTTTATCTTGCCCCACCATTATTAATATTCAGAGCGAAACTCATTTTTTCTCAGACTTTTTATGAAGTTGTACAGTGAAATCATCAACCAGTCATTGTTAGACCACCACTAGAAACGTGGAAGCACTGCACGGCTGTTTTTTCCCGTTATGAGACTCATCAGTGGCAGAGCGCATCCACGACTCCTGGACCTCATAGGATTCGGACCCAGGACCTTCGGTCTTGTGCGCGAACGGCTAACCTCTGGACCACTAGGCCTGTATCCAATGGTGTTAACGTCTAACTCTGATGAGTTTACAGATTTTACGCCACCTCACCCATTTGTATTTGGTAGTTACTGCCTACACCCAACAAGATTGAACTTCACTGGTCATGTATCTAGTCAAGTATCTACTTCAAAGCAATTCGCAAAGGATGCGCTCCATATATATCAACAAATAGCGCTTGCTATTCAGTGATCAATATAATATGAAATCTAATCTAATCCAGATTGTTGATCAATAAATTTCCTACAGTTTATATCAATTTCAACTTGATAAGTGATATATATATATATGCATACATTGCCCTATATATATGCACATGTAAGAGAATAGATGATTGCAAGAGATTGTCAAGTGACAACTAATATCAGTTCGGTGATTTTCTTTTCTTTTCAAATTGTCAATAAGAGATGGTTATGAAGATGATGTTGAGAGAGAGAGAGAGAGATTCAGTGACGAATGGATTATTTTTGCTTATCATCTGGTCCTTCTTTTTAATCGCTTTTTTCGTTTTATGATTATTAAATAAATAAACAATGCAAGTGTATCAATAAATGGGTGTGTATGTATGTATGTGTGTGTGTTTGTGCAGGCTTTGTCTTTTATACACATAGGTATCCCCATCTATCTATCTATCTATCTATATGCCAACAATTACATGGAAAGATTTCAATATTGTTTATAATATAAGTTAATAATAATTCAAGTATTTTTTTTCTATTTTTTTATTGGATTTCCCAAGAAATTTAAATTCTAATATACCAAATATATATATTAATGTATATTTATATTCATTTAGAAAAAGAGATATGATCATTAGACTAATAAGTAAGGATGATGAATCATTTCCCTATCTTACCTTTTTTTTCTCTGATTGTTGTGATTTTCAATGACATGAATACATGCAACATGTTTATTTATTGTTGTATAAATGTAGATTCATGGAAATTTTGTGACTAATGACATTTCTGTTTCTTTTTTTGACTGTTCTTAATAGCTGGTGTCTAATGTGCTGTTACTCATCAGATTTTTCTAAGCTTGCTATGTATGAATGGGAAGAGAATTTTTTTATTCTTACATTTTATACTATTTAAGTAATATAGTTTACTGAAAGTAATTTTTAATGTCGATCTATGAGAATCAAAACAAAGTGGATGTCATTTAGTGTTATATTTGTGAAGTGCGTGTTTCATCACACCGCAATTCAGACATACGTTTACTTGAAAAAAAACATATTTCACTATTTCAAATGTTAGATGATTGAAGGGAGTTGGAATAGTTCGGGAGAAAACTCAATTAACTCTATGTGTTTATTATCACACTAAGTGACTATTTGACTTCTCTCTCCTAAACGAAGTCATTTTGCATCTGAAAAACTCATTAGTAGTTACCTCTCTAACTAAGACACTAGATGATTCGAGTCTAAATCTTACGATGAACACTAGTTTTTTGAGAAGATATGTATGTCTTTCTGATAAGTACCGTTTAGGATGAAAAGTAGGTCAAGGCTTCTTATGGATTAGATTCAAAAGCCTTCAGCATTACCATAAACTTGAATGTTGATGCGCATGTGATGTAGTGGGGAATTGGTGACAATAGCTATATCTGACCAGTTATTTTCGATCATCAGTAATGAACGCACACCAGAAACTCTGTATTTGGTTAAATTAACGATCCTAATGTGTTGTGTTGTGGTAAGCTTAGCAGAATTCACTCACTAATTCGAAGTGTAATCATACATAGCTTCATATTTAAGTTGATACTTGATAAAAAAAATAATACCAAAACAAACAACAGGCTTTTGTACGTCTGCATTTTATCAATCATTAATAGTTTTGTACAAGTAATTAGAAGAAGGCATTATTTCATTGGATAAAATAAATAGTGTTTCTTTATATTATGATATATTTTAGTATCTTACATTAGAAAAACGTTTGTTAAATTCATTTTCCATTATGGAATTTGCTTATATTCATATGAATTTCACTTCCCTTGGGTGCTAATGTTGTATGGCAACTTGAACTGATGTATGTATGTACCAAGTCCTACGTTGTAGCTGATTGCCGAAATGGACTGAATAGATGAGAGCCCAAAAACTCCTTTTTCTCGTAGAGTACATTTTCAATAATTATATTTCTAAATGCAAGAGAACAGTAGAAATAAAGACTTAAGACGAACAGGTAACGGCTACAGAATCCTTTAACACTGAAGGATTCTGTATAGCTGTTTCAGTTTCATTTGAAGTGTTTTAATAATTCACATCCACAACCTGACATAGAATTGTTATAATTCTCTCTCTTATTACAACCCATCTATTCCTAATGCTTAGTATTGTCGGACACCAATTCACTGGAAACGTTCTCTCAAATCAGAACACGGTTGAACAGAAGATAGATTCTTATCCGATAACAAGGTTAGATGGAAGTTAGAAGATGGAAAGAAAAAGACGTTAGTATATTTATAGTTTTTACAAGAGAGGATTCTAGAATGTTTCCCCAGTATCAGCTGGCGCTGATTAGATACGAAAGAGCTAATCAGCGTGCATCAGCAACGCAGTCATGCTTTAATCCAATCTATGTCCAGCTAACAAGAATGAAGCATAAATACCTTTAGGTTTTGCATGGAGAATGATGTTGTTCAGCCTCTAAACCACAAACTGATATTCGACACTTAAATTTCATTAATTTGTGGGACATGATAGATACCTAATGTTATAATTGGTTTGTTTATATATTAAACATTTACATCATTGAGTAATGAAAACGGTATATCTGTTTAGTCTCTAGTACTGATCAAATTCCAACAATCAAATCGGAAAGTAATAAACGATATCAGTGACTGCTGTGTTTTAATGCAAGGTGAACAGAAGAAGTTGGTAGGAAACCGTGGATCTAGGTTTCATGCTAATAGACAATCGTCTAAAAGACATACCTAGTATCTTTAAGGAACCAATACCTCTCAACCACTGAAGCTACATAGATTACAATCTGTGCTAAATTGACTAGGTTTTAAAATTTAGACCACTAGACTCTAGTTTGTTTAGCTATTGTATATCATGCCTTTCAGTAGATTAGAGGGTCATCAATCTGAGAGGTTTCAAACAGAACCTCTATTCGTTGTACACTGATTTCCTAAGGGTTGTATAACTGATATACGTTTTGTAATGGAAATTTTCTGCAGTTTGTTTGGATTTTCCATGAATCCACCTTAATATGCAATTTTTTTTATGTTAAACATAGATTGACATGCTAATTTTTTAAAAATATTATCTTGATCATTTATTTTGGCCAGTTAGTAGTGATCAAAAGGGTTTTCTTGGATATTTCAACCTATTTTCCTTTCTTCAGCTGTTTTCATTTTATTTACTAAGTCGTAACGACCCCTTGTATATCATGCATTTTGTACAATTCACTTTGTTAATCTTAGAAATCTTTGTAATTTACCAATTAACTAAAATGTATACACAATGAATCCTATGTTAAACTAATGGTCATGCGTCATAATTTATTTTTGATGAAGTAACGAATTCTATTATTGAGATGACTTTGTAAAAAACTCGATTGGTGGTATTATAGTTATGCTGACTAGTGACCAAATTTAAGATGAATTTCGTGAGCTCTTGTGGGAAGCGCAATCGATAGAGTTCAGTTATGTCGGATGTAAAGCAGTAATCACTGGTAATGTTGGACGATCGCTATGCTATTTCACTAGTTGATTGCGGTTAGCAATGTGTATCAATGGCTACAAGACCAAAAAGTCCTGTATCCCACCCGTGACAGGTTATAAATTAGAACTGGTAAATACATTCGTGCTATGTTGAAATAGCTATCCAGTGTTCCTTGATTAATAATGATACTCTTACGGGAACTAATCTGTCACAAATTCAAGTAGAATTTTGATGAAAGACGATATTATCACGCTACATATAAAATGAATAGTTTTATTAGTTCGTTCAAATTTTTGTCAATTAAGTTTTTGGTTATGATCATATTCGACAAATTTTTGTGATGGATTAAATAAAATTCACAAAGAAAGTTTTTTTAAAATATTCGTTATTCAGTTTTTAATGTCAGTTATATATTTTTTCTTGATTAGGCTTTTTGACAACTCCACAATTACGGCTTCCAGTCAAGTAAGTTGAACATTCAATGTTCTGTTATTCTGTTGTAGTTGTTTTATTGATTTGTGTTAGTCAAGATAATCAAATTCAAAATATATAGCAGCACAGTACATCTTATAACCGTCGAAAACTTCAATTATGGAATGAATATTCTAAACTGTAGGGGTTAGTCTTCCGAGTTATTATTACTATTATTCAGTGATGAACTGATCAATCTTTGTGGGAAAATGAGCTGGTTGAATAGAAGCCACATTAATGATAGAGGTTAAATATATGTGATTTTAAAAGTACATTACGTTCTACTGAAAATTTATTGACTGCGTATTTTACTGTTGATATCCTTACTAAATCCCTAATATTAAACGACAGGACAATAAACATCCCTTAGCAAATAGTGACTATTATATTCTAGTAGATAGTATTGTTGTCCTTAAACTAATAAGTACCTGATTCGAATAGGAATAGAAACTTCGGCAAGTAAATAGTAAATGGTCACATGTGTGGTCATTTAAAAGAATAATAATCATTTATAAATTCTTGTTTTACTTCGGCACCATTGTTTTTTTTTTTGATTCTGAAGACTCTAAGTAAGAAACGATTTTTCCACATAATGAGTTTATCTTTTGAATTTACATGAAATCAGAAGATACTTTTAGCAAAATGATGTGAATCCTGCGAGCTGCATGAGTCGTGGATGCGCACTGTCACGGATGAGTTCCATAACAAGACGAAACAGCCGTCTTTCAGTGCTTCCAGGTTTCTAATGATGGTCTAATAATGATTGATTTATGATTTCAATGAGTAACTTAAAAATCTTCACAACTCCATAATTAAAGACAGTTGATGTGAAATGATGTAAAATCATAATATTTAGTGGATTCTCTTCAGCTTTTTAATGGAAGATAGCATAATAAAACTATATCTCTTGTCATATATATGTGTGATATGCTCGTCAGTTGATATGCCTGAAACTATTACGAGTTCACCTTGCTCGGTAAACGAGAGCTAAGACAAATAATCCATTGACACGATAGGCTATTCGGATTTGATTGTCCCCGACCCTGTTAACCATATCAAAAGTTTTGATAAGGCGTAGAAAGCACCCAGAAAATATGAGGCTAAGAAGCATATAAATTGAGTTTATTTATACATCACAGAAACGTCCTTGAGAGAGCCACAAAAATAGCGTACTAAAATACTATACCAACCAATAACAATCAACGATTTTCCGGATGGGGAAATGTGATCTCAAGGTCAACTGATCAGCCCATGTGCGAAACCATTAAATCTAAAATTATGGCCTTTATCAAGTGAGTCAGTCGCATAGTAGTAGGTAGGATAACCTCTTCAACGATTGTAACAACATTATACAAAACAGATTTTCCTCATTAAATTCAAATATCGAATGTGTTTCAATGTCTTCCTTCCTATTTGCACAAAATAACTTATTATTATTGTGTAATTTTTTTTCCAGAGTTAACTCCACTTCCGATCCAGATTTAGAAGCAATGCACAATATACAAGTGATGCTTGATCAAATCAGTGAACGTCTTATTTTAAGTAATCAATAAATAGTTGAAATTTTAAAATATTTCTATTTTAAAAAGAAGACAGACAAACAAACGGAATAGACATTTATTGTGAATTTAAATAGGAAATTAGGTTGAGAACTGTTTGTTTGTTTATTTAAACAAATAAATATAAATGCGTTCAATTGATTTATGAACATTGAATCAGTTTGTTTTAATTCTTCTAAAGAAACAAATACAATGTTATCTATCATCAAATGTACATTTTACTTACACATATGATACTTTCTTGCTTCCTTCACACGATTTGTTTATCGTGCCTTATTATTATTATAACAAAAAAAAATATTCTAGATTCAATATTCTATCATTCACTTTATTCATTGAAATACTTTCTTTTTTTTAGAGAGAGAATGAATCTAGCTATGCGTTCTAATTTCAACAATCCCATCATCCCCTTAACCCAAAGTGTTTTTTTCTCCTTTCTCCTTGTCTCTCTTTTCTGATTACTGCTTCACTTCAATCTACTGTGACATGCTCTTTGTGTGTGTGTGTGTGCGTGTGCGTGTGCGTGTATTCGGTTTCCACTTCAGTTATTTTCAAATGTCACATTACCATGTGGGGTAGGCAGTGATGTATTTGGTTTTTTAAACAATTTTGGCGGTAAATAATGTTTTATTATTATTATTATATGTATATGTAAATATTGTTTCCGATGATATGTAATTTGTTTATGAATAGGTTAGTAAAATTAAACATTGCGTTTTTTTTCTTCCTAAACGTGACCTATTTCGTTACAGAGTTGATGTGATTTGTATTGTCTTCAATGTTGTAAGAGAAAGTGTGTTGTATCCCAGCAGGTTTAATCATCGTGTCGTTCATTTAATCAGTGAGCACTAAATACTAGAGTGTAAATTTTTACAAATAAGTTTATTTCGAGCATTTCGCATTACAGATAAGTTACTTTAGCATAGTGAATGAAAATTACAAATAAGTGAAAAAGTTTATATCTGGAAAGATTTTCTTGGTGAAGAATACAGTCTAGTTTGTGGTACTTTCCCAATGACATAAATGGAAACATAACCGAAAATGTTGGACGCACGCTTATCAAACATTGATGACGTTTCACAACGCATCACCTCCGTAATTAATATAAATGTACATAATATTTGTTCCCTACGATTTCACTAAACGATATCAAGATATGCAAGTTTGTAGACTGAATTGGATAAAAACTGATGTCTTCCAATGGACAAACCAGATTTCAAGAAAAACAGTTTCATAATAACACAATCTGATAAAACATTTAATAATAGACATTATTCTAAAAAATTATAACTGATTTTTCTTATAAAAAAAAATGAGTATTTTCATTTGCTGAATGCCCTAGTCCAACAGTCAGTGTTCTCGAACTATCATTGAGAATTAGCCTTCAAATCAGGTGAGGTAGAAGGTAATTGTGCTTCACAATTCGAAATCCGTTTGGTATAATTTTCTGGGCTACATATTGTTGGGGGCGTTGGATTCCCAGAAATCACTCGGAAATGGTCCTAATTTTATAATTTTGTTCTGAATTTTGAATTTTTATTGTTTTCGTGCCAAGAGACGCTTAGTTGATCTACAGCTCGGTAATTCCTGACTGTCATTGGTTGACGGTTTTTTTTAGTACGCTATTTTGTGGCTCTTCCAAGGGCGTTTCTATCATTGTTTAAATAAGCTTGATTTGTGTGCTTGGCTACCTCGAATTTTCTGGGTGCTTGTAGAATAGATTATTCAAGCCTTATCAAGACTTCTTGCTCTTTTTAGCAGGGCCTAGAATAACAGGTTAGAATAGCCTATCGTGTCATTGTATCGTTGACCTTCGTTCCGTTTTATCGAGTAAGGGGAACTCGTAGTAGCATTCATGCATATCAATTGGCGAGCATATCACATTTACTTGTTCCCCTTATCTTTAAGTTGTAAATAGTAAAGTATTAAGTGGGTATATTTTCATTGTTTATTTCAATAAATTGTCTTTCTACTGTTTGTAGTTACCTTAATTAGTGTTCTTAACTATTATGGTATAGATTTATTACCCAGGGTTCGGTGGAATCCAACGGTTTGATGTAACTCAGACAAAACCCTCTTGAATATTTGGCCTACCTGTTGTTTCCTAACATCAAATTTTTTCAACAACTTACCTCTCTTTGTTTGTTTCAATATATCAAGCATGTCTACTAATCACATCGTTTATTCGGGTGCGTATATAAAGTGTTTACGAGTCATCGTCTTCACAAGATACGAAAACGTCCGATCTGAGACATCGCGGCGGCTGGCAGTTTTGTTAGAAAAAAATGAAAGTTTACTTCCAACTACCAATCAATAGTTGTTTTGTAAAGGAAACTTGTTGAAATATTCCGTACTGAGAATTCCATATTGTACTGTGCATATAACAGTGAATAAAGCCATTATTGTCTACATCAATCTTTCCACTGAGATGTATTCAAGACGGTTAAATTATATACAATTTGCTCAGTTCACCAACAAATTTTATTTGGGAGAAAATAATAATTTTTCTATGTGAATATTCTGAGATTAATTCGTTGAAAAACTCTGCTTTAATGGATGTTATATTTTCAGAAGAATAACCTTCAATAGTCTAATCGATTCAAACAGCTATAAATGTGAAGTCTTTTAACTATTCTTAAATACCTAACACAACCGAAATTAACATTTAAAGAAGAGCATTGAACTTTATGTTATGTTGTCGACACTTTATTCGCTCGAGCAAGTAGAATCTGCACTGTTGATACATTGAACGACGAATCCAAGCTTATTACTGAGACACTTAAATTAAACGGATATCACGAAACGTTTATTAGTCATCAGAACACAACTATGACGAAGCTGATAGCAACTGATGTGCCCGAGAAACCAGTGTACCTACAGTTACCTTTCAAGGGTGATCATTGCATGAAAATTATAACCAAACAGACTGCAGTTGCAATAAAAAAGACCTTCAATGCAGCTAATCTGAGGCTTATCACAACAACTCAATCGGTCTCAGTTACCCCAATCAAGTCTCCATGACCGATTCAGTCCAAATCCCACTGTATTTACCAATTCACATGTAACTGCGGAGAAAGTTACTTAGGTAGGACATATCGCCGATTGGAAGACAGGATAGGGGAACATATTCCAAAATGGTTAATCAAATCCATGATTCATCAACCTAGCCCGTCATCTCAAAATCGATCAAGAAACCCGGGCTCGTCCATTGTAAAACATCTAATGATGAGTGGTCATCAAATTGACCCAAAATCAGCCTTTAAAGTTGTGACATGTCATCAAAACCCACACACACTGAAACTACTCGAAGCTATCTTGATTGGTCGGAAAAGTGCAACTTTATGTGTTCAAAAACAACTGTATGTTAACCTTTGTTTACTTACCATGGTTCTAGTGAGTGAATGTCATGCTAAATAAGAAATTTTGACCTTATCTTCAAAATTGTATTTACACAAATAACATGTTGCTTGTATGTGACTGACGAGAAAGCACGAAATGGTACTATCTCACAAAATATGTCTTCTCATTTCTCTATTCAAATTTATCAAAGGGAACCACTGTTTTGAATTATGTTGAATACGCCTGATTAAATATATAATGATTAGCATATAATTTGAAATATCGTTCTGAAACGTTACTCCATTACCATGTTTTATGGAGTTCATGTTATATTGATCAATCATTAAAACACGACTAAACATGACCATCACTTTACAGGGGGGTGGGGGGTGGGTTCGATGATTATGTACCTATATTTTGCTTTCTTGTATCTATCAACAAAGTTAATCCTTTCCTGAAGACCAGTAATCAAGTATCTTTTATGTTTGTTATCTTTATACTCGATGATCAAAATCAATAAAAACCAGGAATATGTATGTTCCTGAGTGTCTATTTAATTAACATATAGAGTAGCAGTAAACAATCCAAATATAATAGAACTATACGGATACATTCGGCTTGAAATAATAGTAATATTTTGGATAACACCAGAATTTTGATTTCTTTCATTTATTTCACCCGCTGGTACTTAGAATCACCAGCAATTGTTTTGTAGTGAAATAAACCAACGTCTGCATTGAATTAATCTAATCTGAATCGTATAGGAGTAAATTCAAATAATCCACAGTGTTCAAAGTAATGTTTTTCAGTCTCATGTTCGATGAGTATACAGTTATATGGTTTTAGCCTGTCTGCATCAAGCACCATAATTTATTATTCGTTTGGGTTTTAGTAGGATTGTTCAATCTGATATTACTGATAACAATACATAAGAATGTACAAACACAATTTTCTACCCACATAATCTTTATGTGGTTGTAGAGTATATAATGAAACCACATTCATTTGAATTTCTGTTATGTTTACCAACCAGTAGTATTTCGGATCTTCGTTTTTCATGTTTTGGATTAGATTAACATACTGATGTTGGATCGTATTCCTAATTGTCGGAAACTTATGCCAACAACGATGTAAAGTACTTACCATCGTGTTTAGTATTTCAATCACTTTGAATCTGACAGTGGGATCTGAGTAGTCTCATGAAGCGTACCAGAATAAACAGGCTTGGACTGTGGGCTTTGTCTGTGAAAAATCGTGACTGCTCCAAAATAAAAACTATGGCGCTTTTACAAGGGTTTAAGCCTCTAAGTGTATATATCTTCATATTTCTACTGTATTGGAACATACATAAGTATATGAAAGGCTTGTCGTAATTAATTGGTATTCAACATTTGTAGAAGTGAAGTTTCCAGGTGCTCAACGGTAAGAGCTTGAGATTTCTGATACTTCAGCGTTCGTTCTTGATGAACACTTTGTGGTTCCAATATCCACGAGCTAGTATAAATCAATCGATTTCTTTGGGTTCGATTCTTGTTCTTTCTGTAGGGTTCCATATGTTTGGTAGTGTTCAGTTTGTATGATATTGTGTGTCCTGTGATTCGAATGAAAACGTTTAATTCAGGGACGTATGTTTTAGGATAGCAGCAGCTATCACGTTACCAGGTCAGAGATCAGTCAGTTGCAGTGTGTAGAATAATAAGGAGAAAATTATAATGCTAATAAGCAGAATATTTCAGGGAAAAGTAAACAAATGGATAATTTAGCTTGTTAGTTGGTAGTGAAGATTGTGTGAGAGGAATGAACTGTAGGCAAGGGAGACGAAACAGAGATAATAAGCGAGTTAGGTTAATTTAGAGATCTGATTTGAGGGCAGTAATAACCGTAGTGCGAATCTTTCTATTCTCATGGTAGTTTGTGAACCAAGATAATAGTGGGTCAGAGAAGCCTGTTTCCGCAAGCTGTGCGAATAGGCGTGTCAAAGGCTTTTGCGAAGTCAAGAAATATTATGTGCATCGGTATTTCTCGGTCCCACCAGAGTGTTCAGTCGTCCTATGTTATGAGAAGATCGTTCACCAGCCCTTCGATTGCCTTCTTTAGTATTCGTAGTAATGCGACTGGCCTGTAACAGGCCGGGTCCTTCCTATATCCTCCTTCGAAGATTTTAGAGGGA